CAGCTCTAATAAAACATCAAGGAAATTGTTCAGATTGTATCTCAAACCATTTAAAACAGACATTTATAGAGGTTTGAGCAGCCCCCATATCCTCAACCCCTGGTTTAAAAAGAAATGTGTATAGTGATTAATTATCCCATATTACCCTTTTTTTTTTTTTAATGGTAGCAGTTTCCAGAGAAGAGAGAGATTGGAAGTCAATAAATAGGTATAATAGACAAGGGGTTTGGGAGAGAAAGAGAAGTGATCACACATTCCTCCTTCTAGTCACTCATTCGGTAAGTATTTGCTGGTCATACTATGTACCAGGTACTCTAAGGCTAGGACCTGGAGACCCAGGAGTGACCAGAGAAGGGGGATTCCTGCCTACAGCTTCTGTTTAGTAAGAGGAAACAAAAATGAACAAATCAATGAAATAAATAGAAAACATTATTTTAAATCAGGCTTAAGTACGTTCAAGGAAACCAACAAGGTGATGAAAAAGCAAATTGCCACAATAGAGGTGGGTCCCACTTTGCATAGAGAGTCAGGAAAGGCTTCTCTGGGACATAAAGTGGATGCTGCAACTGCCAATCACATCGCTAGGAATAGGCAGAACGTGCCAGATAAAGTGGAAAGGTGCTGATGTCATCAAGCATTCAGTGTGTCTGAAGAACAGAAGGAAAGGCAGATACAGAAAGTGAGAAATCATCTAAGTGACCTATGCCCTCTATTTTAACCCTTGGAAAATGTATTTCCTAAAAATTGATTATTAATAATGTTAATAATAATTGTCTTTATTAAAAAAACATTTGTTTTAGTTGCTGTAAGAATATCTTCTGCACCTTATCTCTCAACTTTCCCAATATCCATCAGGTTCCAAAACACAGAAATTATTATTCTAGTTTGACACAGGAGAATGCAGCCTTAGAGAGCTCAGACAAATTGTTCACGATTACACAGTAGCAGCAGAACTGGAATTCATACTCAGGTTCATCTATCTGCAAAGCCTACACCTTTTTGTTTCCTTTAGCTTGTTTTGTTCAGCAAATATTTGAACCCTATGCTAGGAACGCTGCACACAGAAATGAATGAAGCAAAATGTTGTGGACTGTTTCTAAAGATGGCCACACAGTATCTTCCATCCCAACATGCCCTTTTGCAATGTCACCTTTCTGCACCTGCATCAAGAGGGAAGTCTATTCCTTCTCTTGCTAGCCCTGAGGCTTATTTTGACCAAAAGAAGAGTTTTCCATTATGTCTTGCCTGAATTCCCAGCCCTCAGAATTGTGAGCAAATAAAATGGTAGTTTCAAGAAACGAAGTCTTGAAAGTCGTTTGGTGATTTAGCATAACCAAAATGCATAAGGAGCTCAGCCTGGAGAGGGAAACAAGCATACAAATATCTTTAAAATAATGCAAGTGTCCCCATGTTTATTGCAGCATTATTCACAATAGCCAAGATACACAAGCATCCTACATGTCCATTTATGGATGAATGGATAAAAAATACAGCATATAAACACAACTGAAATACTACTTAGCCATACAAGAGAAGAAAGTTCCGTTATTTGTGACAACACAGTTGAACATGAAGGACATTATGTTAAGTGAAATAAGCTAGGCACCAAAAGAGAAGTATTGCATGATCTTATTTATATGTGGAATCTAAAAAGTTGAGCCTACAGAAGCAGAGAGTAGAAGGACGATTACCAGAGGCTGAGGAGTGGGGAGGTTGGAATGTTGTAGGTCAAAGGATACAAAATTTAAGTTGGGCAAGAAGAATAAGTGCAAGAGTTCTATGGTACCAGATGGTGACTACAATTAATAGCAATATATTGTATACTTGAAAATGACTAAGAGAGTGTTCCCATAAGAAAACATAATTATGAGAGGAAATGCATATGTTGAATACTTTGACTTAACAATTACAAAAAGTATGCATAATTCAAAACATCATGTTATACACCATGAATATATACAATTTTACTTGTCAATTAGAAAATACATGATTTTTAAAAGTAGTGTGAGTGGCATCATGAGAGAGCAGTGGAGAAGCATTTAAGTCAGTGTTGCGCAGAGGTGGACAAACTTTTTTGGGAAAGACCCAAATAGTAAATATTTTAGGTTTTGTGGGCCACACCTTCTTTGTCTCAGGACATAATTCTGCCATTGCAGAGGAAAACAGCCAAAGACAACATATAACCAAATGAATGTGTCTGAGTTCCAATTAAACTTTATTTACAAACACAGAGGGAGAACAGGATTTGTCCCCAGGAGCTGTAATTGCCAGCATCTGGCCTTCTTAGAGCATCAGAGGAAACCAATTGAAGGCATAGTGCCTGAGAGTAGCATCTTAAAGGATCAATCAGGAACTGAAGCTCTGTGGTCCTGGGAAACCCTTCAGCCTTTTAACTTAACACATAAGATAATAACCGTATTGTGACACTGCATATTCTGGACTCTGAAAGGTCATTCCCGAAGGGCAACAGGGAGCTCAGTCATTACAGAAGGCCTGGAAAACAGGGGAAATGGAAGAGCTGGGAGTCTGAGGGCTTAATGAAGCTTTTCCTCTAGCCCTGGTGAACCCCGAATAAGAATTAAGAACTTAGCATATGACTCAACAGAAGCTCCAGCTCTCTCATTGCATTAGTCTGTTCCCACGTTGCTACAAATATACTATCCAAGACTGGGTAATTTATAAAGGAAAGGGATTTAACTGACTCACAGTTCAGCATGGCCAGAGAGAAACTTACATTCAGGACAGAAGGAGAAGCAAATGCATCCTTCTTCACAGGGTGGCAAAAAGGAGAATGAATGAGTGCTCAGTGAAGGAGGAAGCCCCTTAGAAAACCACCAGATCTCGTGAGAACTAACTCACTATCAAGAGGACAGGAAGGGGGAAACTGCCCTCATGATTCAATTATCTCCAGCTGGTCCCTCCCACAACACATGGGGATTATGGGAACTACAATCAAGATGAGATTTGGGTGGGAACACAGCCAAACCATATCACTCATCGACATACATCAAAGTAAGCACCTAAAACCTCTGTTCTGGAAGTTACATCATTGAATCTAATCTAACAAGTATGTCACTACTCCCCTTAGAGACTATCACAGAGTTTCTGAAGAGTAGGGAGCATGTCTTTTTCTTACTAGCAAATAGCATCTCTTGTACATGTTTTCTTTCTAGGAGAGCCATGTATGTTTCTTGTCTTTGAGCTCTTTAGCTTCCCTTCATGCCTGATGCTTCTCAGTCACAGACCTGCTTCTCTTAATCTGGAAAACAACTCACTTTTTAGCCTGAATACCACACTCTGGCAGCATCAGGAAAAGCACCGGTGAAAGCTTTTAGAGTTCTAAGCTTAAAGACCAATGGGCGTTCTAAAAACTGTGACTGGGCACAGGAAATTTGAGGTGATACCATGTTTTCAGATGTTGGTTCCAGGATGGAAGAGTGAAAGCAAATGCTGAGAACCAAATCAGATAAATGCCCAGTGGAAAAAGAATTTCAGGAACAGATCTCGGGGTGGGCAGGGAGGCCATGGGTAGGTACGCATGACTTTGACTAGGTACCATCTCTTCTTTCCAAGGTCACTCCTCGTGTCACATGACCACTGTCATTCCTCCTCACCACCATTGATGGACACCACCATCGCAAAATTCTGTACTCCTTACTTCTGAGAAGATCCACTGCTCACTCTTTTATGTTTTTTTTTTAATGTTTATTATGAAACGGGAAAGGTTCCCTTGCCCCCTTGCAGGGCATGCTATGGGGGTGTGGCTCGCTTCTTCAGTGCCCCACTGCTCAAACCTCTAGGGAACCATATAGATGGGCAGGCTGTGGGGCTCTGACCCCATGACAGTGTCTGGGGGTGAATGTTTACAGCTGAAGCCCCAGTGGGCATGTGTTAGAGTGCTCTTTTAGTTTAGTTTCCATAGGTGGCTTGTGTTAACCAGCTCAATTAGGCCCTCTACTTTGTCTCAAGGACAGAGGGCTTTTGTATCCCAGGTTCTTGTCTTGGTGTGCTGGAAGAATCGGATCAAACCTAGGTTTGGAGAATGAATGCAAGGTTTTATTGAGTGGAGGTAGCTCTCAGCAGCTGGGGGAAGCCAGAAAGGGATGGAGTGGAAAGGTTTTCCCCTGGTGTAAGGCAGCCCGGGCTCTCCTCTGACTGCTCCGGCCAAACTCCGTGCCATTTTGCTAGTCAGTGGCCTGCCAGCCTGTTGGTGCCTGTCAGTGTGTCCCTCTCGACATCCAGCCACCCATGTGTTCCTCTGCTGATGTGCTCCTCTCTAAGTCCAGCCGCCTGTGTGTCTGCCTGCTAGGGTCTTGGCAGTTTTTATAGGAACAGGATGTTGGTGTGGCAGGCTAGGGTGGAAATGTAACATTTGGGCAGGAAAACAAAAATTCCTGTCCTCACCTAGGTCCATGGGCACAGGCCTGGGGGTGGAGCCCTAGCCAGGGACCACACCCTTCCCCACTTCTGTATCATTTAGAGGGACCATGCCCTTCCCTTCCTGGCACTTCTCTCCTATATCAGTTATACGTGCGTTCACAGAAACAGATACACCCATGAACACATCACTAAGTAGAGAGAGCAGTAATTATGACCTGCTTAGGTCTTAAGTGAACTAAGTGATCCAGCATGTGTCAACCCCAACTATCCCCCTAATTCCATCTCTGGACTCTGTCCACACCAATTTGTCACCATTTCTCTATTACAATCTTCTCCCCAAGACTTGGCTCAAACTTATTTTGGGACCCACTCTCCATTCTCTAGTAAATTCAGCCATCAGCTTCTCTGTGAGCGCATGTTGCACTTTGAGCAATTTTTAAAAATACCATCATCAGATCACACTGATGTTTTTAAACATTAATATTCCTCATTGGACTATGAACTTTCTGAAGTCAGAGTACACATTCTATAGCCTACAATAGGAATGCAATCAATATTTGTTGAATAAACAAATAATAAAATAATAATTCTTGCTGGAGTCAATACATTTAAATTTGAAAATGAAAAGAAAGGATATAGTGACTCACCAGACAGAAAATCGGTGTTCCTCCAGTTCCTCCAAGTAAGATATGTCCTGTGAATAATCTTCAGCTTCTCCAGTTCTCAAAACAGTTGATTTTTCGTTCACAGAATGATCCGTCAGGCTATCTCCCTTGTCAAATAAATTAACAAATATGGAAAAAATGAAGTATTTTATTAATAGGAGATTGAAAGTTCACCTAGTTTCAGTGACATTTTCCCCAGAATGACTTATAGAATCATTGATCATGAAGAAGCATCGTTAGGCATGGGTTTTGCATTGAAATTATTGTTTTATGCTCTAGATACTCTCACTAAATTTTTATCTCTGTCAAGGCAGAGACCATGACATGTTCACTTTTGTCTTATTTCACATGGGACAGCTTATGTAAATGTTGTCAGAATGGAAAGACAAACATAATGATGGTCACAGTATTTGTACTGAATCAGGACTTTTGGATGCAAGTGAAATAAATGCAACTTGAGCTAGCTCTCAACAGAGTAATTTGAAGGGAGATTTGAACAACAAGTCTATGGAGAAGGAAAAGAGAAGGAAATTCTGCTGAATTTCAAGAACACAAGAATCAAGGACTTGAAGGCTACCAGGACTCTCTTTGCCTCTGTTCTGTGCTCTGGCAGGTTATTTCATTCTAGCATTGTCACTAATGGCTCCTGAGTCCCCCAGCCAGTGATTCTCAACAGCATCCATTTAAGCACAGGAATTGCATGATGTCTATGGAGCTCCTTCCTAGAACTTGAAAAATTCAAGTTCATGATGGGTCCAGAAGGCAAACTGAGCCCTGTGGCTCAACTAAGGGTTCTTGGGGCCCCGCTATGGCGGGGAATTGGAAGGGGGAGCAGCTAACCTAGCAGGGCTCTTCCTTCCTCTCCCACCCTATAAGCTCGGTTTTTACCTGTTTTATTTATTGGGGTCCCCTGCTAAGCTTTTACTATAAATGGTACTGACATGGTTGGGATGTTTGTCCCCTCCAAACATGGTATTGAAATGTAATCCCCAGTGTTGAAGGTGGGGCACAGTGGGGAGGTGCTGGGATCATGGTGGCAGATCCCTCATGGCTGGCTTAGTGTTGTCCTCAAGATAGTGAGTTCTTGTGAGATCTGGTTGATTGAAAGTATATGGCACCTCTCCCATCTCTCTCACGGTCCTGCTCTCACCATTTGATGTGCCAGCTCCTGCTTTGCTTTCTGCCATGACTGTAAGGTTCCTGAGGTCCTCACCAGAAGCACATGCTGCAGCTATGCTGATACAGCCTGCACAAGCATGAGCCAATTAAGTCTCTTTCCTTTATAAATTCCCCAGACTCAGGTATTTCTTTATAGCAATGCAAGAATGGCCTAACCCATGTGCTGATAAGGAGTTTGAAAATCATTAGTCTAGAGAAGGAGAAAATCAGGCATGACTTGCATTTATAAGATAGTTTTGTTAAAACTCCTCTCCCCTTTTCTTGAGACCCTTGTCAAACATTTTAAATGATTATTTGTAAGAGGTCAGTTTGGTTGAAATTCCTTAATATTAGCCCACACAAGTTTTAGCACAACTTTGTAGTTGGAATAGCTTGAAATTGCAAAATGTTGCTTTGGGTTGACAGATTGTTGTAGCCAGGAAAACCTAAGCATGAAACTCAGGTGAATGAGATGTGTCGTCAAATCCCCAGTGAACTCAACAAGTTTCATTTCCTTTATTATAAAATTGATCAATTTGATTACCTTAAGAAGAAAATCCAGTTATGACAGATATCAATTTAAAGTAAATGCCTTTCATTGTGGTCCTTTATTTTAGCTTCTATAGCATAGAAGTATTTTTGAGTAGACTATTCAATGTTGATAGTTTTAATTACTCCATCCCTAAGTAAATTAAAGAGTATCAAGATTCTTGAAAAAATATGAGATCTTTGAATTGTCCCAACTAAATATATATTTGATTGGCACACTTTGCCAGGTTGCTGAAAAAAAGGCCTTTGTAACTTTAAAGTTTCAATTTGATGGCATTTCCTGATGAGTTGTTTAGATACTTTATTCAATCTCATTCAATAGAAGGTTGAAATGGCTACCAAGAACTATACCATAAATTTGGTTTACCCACCAAAGCTGCTGATTGGATAAAGTAAAGGTTTTTCATGATACAGTGCATAAATTGCTTTCTTTCTGGTTTCTCTATGAATATCTACATAGTTTCTTCAAACCAAATTCATGGCAGAAATGGGATATAGTATATTTCTTTGTCTTCCAAGCACTTCACGTGGTTATAAGCATACGGTAGATCTCAAGAAACAGCAATTAGAAGCCATTTTATTAAGTAATCACATTATAATAACAGCAACAGTGGACATTACCTCTAGTTGCCAAGTCATAAAGAAAAACATCGGTGAATACTAACTATTGCAAACATTTCTTGAACTTTTATATTTCCTTTAAGAAATATTTAAATTAAGGCACTAAAAATTCCTTCAGATGGATTTTTGGGAAGACATGAAGTCATGGAAACTAGTTCATCTCCAAAGAACTGATTCAAAAGAGGAACAAAAATACAAAGAAATAACTTCTGATTCCAAAACAAAAGGTAAGTGTGTACAGAGAAACTCCCAGGTAAGTACCAGGATGTATGAAGCCTGTTCACATGGAAGCACTTTCATAATATAAACAGTCTTCCAAACACAAATGTATATCTTAAATACATGCCTGAAAAACAATGCCTGAACCATATTGTCAGCACTCAGAAGACAGAAAGTAGATTTTCTGCCTCGTTACAACTATAAATCCTGTCTGTATTCTGAACCCTAAGAACATCATCATTAATTTTTTTCAACAGCAATGTCTTTAAAGAGATTAATATCTATACTTTAAAATAGAAATTGGTGGTACAAATTTATTCCAAAGCATCATATTTTATATGTTGTGTGTATTGTTACTCATATACTGACTTGCCACAGAAATCAAAAGCAAATCTTTAAATATAAGTTGCTAAAATTTAGAATCTGATTTTCAAACTCGTAGACTAAAAATCTGGTTTGTGAATATTGGTGGTCAAATCCAACACTGGTCACGAAACAATGAATGAACCTTCTTCCAATGCAATGCAAACTGAGAGGCGAAAGTGTTTTAAGGAATTTCGAAAATCTAAAATATATAGTGCTATAGCAAAAAGGGTAGTCAGGTGGTGATCAGAAGACACATTCAAGTCTTTTTACTACTTTGTGAACGCAGATGGATTATTTAAAGTCCATGAATTGAAGTTTTAAATTTAAAGAATAGAGATAAGACACTCATGAAGAGAAACATACATATTATATTAGATATATTATACATATATAATTTATATAACGTATAATTTACACATATATATAATTTATGTATGTATATAATTCTTCCAGGAGGTGTGAGAATAGCATGTAAAATGCTTTACAATGCTAAGGAGATAAGTAGTATGTGGTACCATATCCTATACAGCATAAGTAATCAATTGAATATTTAACACCCTTCCATTTCTTGTGAGTTATTATCGCATTTCTTTTCAACTGCCATGAAAAAAATGTTATAGGAGCCAAGTCTCAAAGGTATCTAAGCCGATGACACATAACCCTATTTAATTGTGTCGTATGGTAGGTAGCAAAGCTCAGGGTTCCTTATTGCATAGGTTAGAAACTTTAAAATTAGTTGAGGATCCAGAGGTTTCTGCCCCTTTGCTATAATTCCTTTCATGAGCCAATCAGTTTACAGAGAAGGATGAGGGCCACGAACTGGTGAGAGGATAAGTCTGTGAGTGCAGAGAGAGCTGGCAGTTCACAGGCAGGGCTACCAGGGCACTGGAAAAGTATTACGGTGTCAGCATAGTGAAGCTCCACTTAGCAGCATTTCTTCTCCAAACCCCTCACAGGGTTTTTCTGTGGGTCTCTGGAGAGAACTGTTCACCTGCCCATCTGGCCAGATGAAGGGCAAGGGGATTGTTTTCATCAAAAGAGAAAGCCTTAGAAGGAGGAAATGGTGAACAAAGGGCTGAATCCAGAGGATTACAAATGCTTTTGAACTGCCCTGGGAAGATCAGAAGTGAGCAGCCGTGGAAGCTTTAATGCCGGCCTAAGTGATGCTCACCAGTTTTTAAGAAGGCAGGGGAGGAAGGTTTGCGGTGGAAACACTCTGCTAAGAGGCTTGTGTTAATAAGATCACAGAATTGCAAGTCCTAGATAACAACAACAAACACCAGGTGTGCCTGAACTATCAAAAGCAAATAAATATGACATCAGGTTCATTTCCATCAGTGCTATTACCATCATCCAAAAACAATCATAGCTCCAAATTAGATTCAGCCTAAATCCTGAGACCATCCAGCAGAAATACTCTTTCCCCTTTCTTTAACTCATGCCTGATGTGTTCATCAGAGAATTTCACAGGACAGGCTTCCATTAATGTACGCAGAGGAAAACAACGTATCCCTGGCCAGGTAGCTCAGGATATGCTAGAGAGACCCCTCAAGTACTGAGTCCCTCGGGCTTCTGTTTCTACCCACTGGAAGATGACTAGCATCTCTGGACACTTGATATCACACATGTAAACTGTTCACTGATCATTTACATTTGAAAAACTGATGCTTCACATTTGAAGTGCAACACTAACCTTATTTTCCCACGGCCATTTTATGAACTGCTTAGGTTAGAATTTTTAAAAATTAGTTGAAGATCCAAGTTAATTCCTGATACTCTAAGAACATGAGAAAAAATAAAATGCTTAAATTGGAGTGTGGAGTCTCAGGCTGAGACTGTTTATTGTCAAGAGAGGGGTATTTCTATGCTTAGAAGGTGGTATAAATGCCCTTACCCGTAACACTTGGTTGCTTATAACTTGGGTGTGTCCTGGCTCTGTCTTCCCACAGCACTGATGGGGCTGAGATGCAGGTCCCAACATGTACGTGCTGCCTCTGAAAGCCATTCAGCATGAAGACACCTTCCCAATGTGCCTGGACCCCAGGGAAAAACTTACTTTCCCAAGCAATTGCTTCATAAGTTTTAGAATAAAATATTAAAAATAAAATCAAAAGAGAACTCCTTGAAGCAATTGTGAATGGGAGTTCATTCATGATTTGGCTCTGTTTGTCTGTTATCAGTGTATAAGAATGCTTGTGATTTTTGCACATTGATTTTGTATCCAAAGACTTTGCTGAAGTTGCTTATCAGCTTAAGGAGATTTGGGGCTGAGACGACGGGGTTTTCTAAATATACAATCATGTCATTTGCAAACAGGGACAATTTGACTTCTTCTTTTCCTAATTGAATACACTTTATTTCTTTCTCTTGCCTGATTGCCCTAGCCAGAACTTCCAACACTATGCTGAATAGGAGTGGTGAGAGAGGGCATCCGTGTCTTGTGCCAGTTTTCAAAGGGAATGCTTCCAGTTTTTGCCCATTCAATATGATATTGGCTGTGGGTTTGTCATAAATAGCTCTTATTATTTTGAGATACATTCCATCAATACCGAATTTACTGAGAGTTTTTAGCATGAAGGGCTGTTGAATTTTGTCAAAGGCCTTTTCTGCATCTATTGAGATAATCATGTCGTTTTTGCCTTTGGTTCTCTTTATGTGATGGATTACGTGTATTGATTTGTGTATGTTAAACCAGCCTTGCATCCCAGGGATGAAGCCCACATGATCACATGTACCCTAGAACATAAAGTATAATAATAATAATAAAGAGAACTCCTTGATTGAACATGTAAACTCAGAAAATATGGGGGAGAGTTTTAGGTTTTTAGAGTGAACATATTCATTCTCACCTTACCTACTTTAGCCTTGCTTCTAATCTCAAAGTTTATGGTCAACGACTGCTATGAGAATTTTACAAAAATAATTAAAAGGCTAGTATTAGACCCATAGTATTGTAGAAGTTGCACAAACATCTTTTTTCATTAGTTTCTCACGGACTACATGTAAAATGACCTGAATACATAATATGTACTAAAAGAATGTGACATTTATTCACCCATTTTTTATTTGCTAGAGGATTGCCCCATGATTTCCATACCCTAGACCTGAAATCAAGATTATAAAAACCAAGAAGTAGAAAACATACCTGGCTAACACACATAACTTATGTTTTTCCATGATTGCTACAAATAGGGATTCTAGAGCCAGACAGTCTGGGTTCAAAACCCAGTTATATACTTTAATTAGTAATATAATTTTGGTTAATTTACTTCATTTTCCTATGCTTCATTTTTTCTCATCTCTAAGTTGGGGATAATGATGATAATACCAATATCTATCTCATTATTTCGCTGTGAGAATAAGATGAGTCATTTGTTGTAGACTGAAAAAATTCGCCAGCACCTAGTAATGTCCTAATTCTCAGTAAATGGTACCTCTCATTGTTACAGATTTCACTAAACTTTTTATTTCAGAGCTTTTATCTTTAATATAGCCTGTGATATAGAAGGTCTGCAATGTAAAAAGTCTGCAATATAGAAGCAATCACAATTGTACATTCTGTAAGTAGTCACCTGAACATTAAAAACACAGTCATTTATTTGATTAAATGATGGCCCACAATTTAGAGGTTAATAAAGAAAAGATTTACTTTAATGTCAGTAGTGAGAGCAAGACGTGAAAGATGGCCCTGTAGAACAATATGCATTTAGTCAGGAAGGTATAAAATTAAGATAATGATTCAGTTAAATTGTACACAAAGGGACCAGATTGTAGGGGTGGGTTGGGTTCTTTTACTTCAATTTTCTAGCCAAGTTAAATTTTTTAAATACTTAAAATTCAAAGTCACCCGGTCTAGGCAGATACAGATTTTTAAAATGTTAAGTATCTAAAAACTGGATCCAGCAATACAAGTAATATTAATTCGGCCAATGTTTTGGAAATCCAGTCTACTTAATTTATCTAACTTTACCAAGATAGTTTCTATACAGACTTCATGGCAGCCATGATCGTGCCAAATAAATCACTGAAACACAGCACAATCAGCACATTTTCTAATCATCCTGCTTGAACTGAAAACAGTCTCGTAGACTGATTAATTTAACTAAAGTCTTCAATAGCTTAAAGAAGTCTGATTCCAATGTTATAAAAATTTATTGGCATTGCTGATTTCTCAAAACATCAGCCACTTCACCACATCCCACACTTCAAACCTGCTGTGAAGACCAAATTACTTTCTACCTGGAAATACATTTTAAGAAATCATAGTTTATAACCAGCGGCTGCTGTTTTCATGGTCTTTCCAAAGCCAACTTCTACAGCCTTCATCTTACCTGAGAGTGCAGGTCTTCTTTTAAGAGATTGGGATCATAGTCCATAGAACAGGGACCGATTTTAGTAGTAATGCTCCCTAGGGTTAAAAACAAAAAGGTAGAAAAAATATATGACACATTTTCACTTGAGAGGATGTGTAAACTCACACTGCTGAAATCGAAGAGCTTATATATGCCTTGACAAATGGGGGTAGAAGAAAGAATTCTAAAACGAAGGCTCTAAGCTATGTCCCTGGTTTTAATTCAGCCAGTGTATGAACTTCAAGTAGAACTCTACCCTCAGCCACACCACGGGATATAATTTACAAGCAGTAGCTGTGTCTGGTCTGCTTTCCTACCTCATCTGGGTAGGATTCTCTATCATCAGCTATGTTTCTGGGATCACATTTTCAAGGAAGCCCTCCTGCACCTTGTATCAATGGTTCAATATGAAACTCTGAGATTAGGGAGATTTGGTCCCTGCCTGCAACCGGTGCTTCTCACTTTACTTACTCTCCCAAGAAGCTGACTCATAAGTTTTGCAATATAATGTTAAAAACAAAAAAAGAGAACTCCTTAATTGAACATGTAAGCCCAGAAAATAGAGTTTTAGGTATCTTTGACATATCTTGCATGTTTATATCAAGGTTTCTCAGCTGGGGCACTATTGACATATCGGGCTGGATAATTCTGTGTTGTGGTGGCTGCCCTGTGCTTTGTTTAGCAGCATCCCTGGCCTCTACCTCCTCAATGCCAGCAGCACCCTCTACCTAACCCCCAACCACTAGTCGTGGCAACCAAAAATGTCTCCAGACTTTGCCAAATGTTCCTTGGGACAAAACATGGCCAGTTGTGAGCACTGTTCTAGACTGCAAACTCCTTAAGAGACAAGGTATCTTTTCACCCTTGCTTTTCCTATAGTGTCTCGCACAGTGCCTGACACAGAGTACTTTCCAAACCAATCAGATGTTGCTTAAAGGAAAAATAAATAAATAAATGGTAGGAGCGCTTATAAGCAGGTATTCCTACAGCTTTATACCTCCGAAGTCATTGTCTTGACCACTCATTTCACTGAACCCATATGGCAAGGTCTATCCCCAGGGTCTTGTGACAAATATCCTGGCCCAGAAGATGCTGGTGCTTGGAGTGCCTCAGGACAGCCACAGCTTTGATGTGGGGGTTGACCTGAAAGTCTATTTTATCAAAACAGATAGCGTGTGTTGTGAGCAGTCAAAGCCTTGTTTTCTGTCCCCCTTTCTCCCTCCAGGAATTGAATGGTGTCATCCTCTGTCCTTTGAAATTGCCTTTGTGGACCTTTTTTTTTTTTTTTTTTTTTTTTGAGGCAGAGTCTTGCTTTGTTGCCCAGGCTGGAGTGCAGTGGCGCGATGATCTCAGCTCACTGCAACTTCCACTTCCTGGGTTCAAGCAATTCTCCTGCCTCAACCTCCCGAGCTGCTGGGATTGCAGGCATGAGCTACCACACTCAGCTAATTTTTTGTATTTTTAGTAGAGAGGGGTTTTGCCATGCTGCCCAGGCTGGTCTCAAACTCCTGAGCTCAGGCAATCTGCCCGCCTTGGCCTCCCAAAGTGCTAGGAGTACAGGCATGAGCCACAGCGCCCAGACCCTTGTAGACATTTTACAATGAGATTTAAGAAGTGTAAGATTCTGAGAACATAGACTGTGTGTCTGCATGCTTCAGAAACCTTTTCTTCCTAAAGGGTGACCCCGCCAGCTTCTTGATCCCCAGTCTAGGTCTGTGTGGGGCAAGCATTTTGGGAAGTGATGTCTCATTGTGTTTCTTGACACTGCCTCCAGTGTACTGCGCCAAGATAAAGGCAGATACTGAGAAATATCCTTCTCCATGGAAATTCAGATGGGTCAGGCACGTCTTCTTTGAGACACCTGATACTTCAGTCACATAGATCCCTGGAAGAGCTCCCTTTCTTTGGGTCTAAAGCAGCATTTGTTGGTAGTGAGATTGTTATGGTCAAAATGACAATAAGAAAAGGAGGAGAAGGGAAAGTAGTGTAGAAAACATTTTTATTTAGGTTTTAAATATATTATTTAAATATAAAATTTTGATAATAGTAATTTATATTAATCATAAATTACATATTAAATTAATCATTATAATGATTATATATGTTTACATATAAAATATTATATCTAAACATATATAAAACATACATAAACATGTTAAAACAAATATATAATTATATGTTGTATATAATATGTAATCATAATCTAATGATTAATTTAATATTTATATATAATGACATATATTATTATATATTATAATGGATGACTTGATGGTTACATTAAATATTATTTAAATACTCCAATATTTATAAATTTAGTGTATATTTTAATGTATTATTCTTTTTAAAGTCTTATAATTTAAATTCTTGGTGTATAATTTCTAGCTGGAATAACAAATATAAATATGAAATAATAATAGAATGCACTTTTTAGTATTTTCTAAGAACTCTGTATCTATTATGTTGTTTACACCACAAACACACACACACACACACACACACACGTTAAAATAGTTACCATTCCCCCATTTGATACATTTGGAAATTGAGACTCAGATCAAAGAACTTCCCTCAAATTAGACAGCCAATTAGAGGAAAATCTGAAATTCAGTGCCAGTTATTTTTGACCACAAAGGCCATGCATTTCATCCTTCTGCTGTATCCTACTTGAGAAGCCACACCACATTTTCTACTTATACACACATTTAAACATTGGACACATTTTATTACTGCTGGAATGAATTACCACAAACTTAGTGACTTAAAACAACATCTTTTTATTGTCTCACATTTTTTGTGGCTCAGCTGGGCATAGCAAGGTTCAGCTGCTTTCTCTATTTAAGTCTCACAACGCCAAAAATCAACGTGTGAGCCAGGGCTGCAGCTCTCATCTGAGTCTTGGAGTCTTCTTCAGGCTTACTGAAAGTTGGCAGAATTCATTCTCTTCTCCTAATTTCCATGGGATCCCCATGGCCTTCAGGTCAGCAGCAACTGGTTGTGTCCTTTCCTTCCTTGAATCTCTCTAACCTTTTTTTCTGCCACTGGCATAAGAATGTTTTCTAGTTTTAAAGGTTCATGTGATTAAGTTCACCCCGATAATCTCTCTGCTGATGTGTAAACATTCTGGGGATTAGATCTTGAACATCTTTGGAAGACCATCTTAGAAATCTCCCTACTAGAAATAATTTCTAATTTAACAGGACTTATATCCCTATATGTTATTAAAATGTAGTGATGGTGTGCCTGTTAGGGTAATAAAGTCTCTATCAAAGAGAGAGACTCCTAAAAGTCTTTAATATTTTCTTAGTTCTCATGTAAAATGTTCTTTGCTTTAAAACAGATCTTCCTATTTATAAAAACATATATAGCAATATATGTATATTAATTATTTATATATGCTATGTAATATTTATGTCATGTGTCATGAAATTATTACGTTATATAAATATATCTATAATACAATATTTTACCAAACTGTGATCGTATCATATATGTAGTTTGCATCCTTCTTTACACTTAATATATTGTGTTTTTTACTGATTATTAAATATTCCCCAATGTATGATTTTTAATGACTGAACAGTAATACATAATATGGTTGGATTTAACCAGCCCCCTTTGGTTAATATTTATATCATGTTGCACATATTTTACAAAAATTTTATTGTCCTTCTGTGCTTATTTTCTTGAAATGAGTATTCAGGATTAGGGATACTAAATCAAATGCTTACGGTTTTTTGTCTTTGCTCTATAAAATGAATTATAAAAGTTTATATTGTAACGGCCAATGCAGGAAAGTATCTAATTATCCACATGCTTGCCAAAACTTGTCTGCTTAGTGGACAAAATAATAAATCTCGTTGTTGTCTTAATTGGAAATCCTAGAAATCTAATACATTTGAATATTTTTATGTTTGCAGAGCATTTATGTAGATTCCCTTCCATGCCATTTCCCCAAATTTTTCAGCTGTCACATTTAATATTTTCTTTGTAATTTTTATCTTTACATATTAAAGATATTACTCTACCTGATGTGATGGTTCAAAATATTTTTCTCAGTTTGCAACACGTCTTTTAATTTCTTTGAGAGTTGTGTGTATATATAAGATATAATTTTCAGTCTTATATAGTCCTGTGTATCAATGTTTTCTTTCATTGTTTCTCCTTTTACTTACAAGCTCACAAAACCTTTTCACACTAAATAGTCAAACCATACATACACAAAAGATAAATAAACAAAGAACTTTTGGGGTCCTTGTATGATTTTCTTGCATGCTTTCCCACTGCAAGGTGAGTAGACGTGGCACCTGGGGTCCTGCTAACACCTCAGGCTCAGACATGCAAAACACAACTGACCCTCATGCCTGTCCAAGGGCTCCTTTCTCGTATTTTTCTCTCTCTTTTCATGACTTTGCTATTCTCCTTCCACCCAGACTCAAAATTCTCTGTCTTGCCTGAATTTTCCTACTCTATTGTCATCCACATCTAATGCCTTGTCACATTATCTTCTACCTCGTTCAGTAGTTTAACGGCCATTTCTTCCTCCCTTTCTCCATAACCCTAGCTTGAGTCTTCATTGCTTTCTACCTCTGCAGATACAGGCAGAAGAGGGATGAAGGGAGAGAGAGACATTCAACTGAGATAAATTCATGGCATATGCTTTTTTGTTTTTTGCAAATTTTTATTTTCCATTCAATAAGACATTATGGTCATCTCTACAAGTCATAAAATACACATCCACCTTTTTTCTTAAAATCTCCTTTTTCTTCTAGATCCCCCTTCAGGGCTTCCATCCATAGTTCCCTGATTCCTTTTCAATTTACTTGCCCCATATAACCAGACACACACACACACACACACACACGGACACACACACAGGGACATGTACATTTATAGAGGTACTTTTTATCACTGCACAAAAAGGAGATTATATATAATTTGTTTTATATATTTTTTATATTATATATAATTTTTTTACATTATATGTAAAATATATATATTATGATATTATATTCAATATAAAATAAAATGGGTTATATGGGGCAGGTGAATTGAAGAC